ATAATAATTGCTCTACTGCTTATTTTTCATGTTTTAGATTTTAACTTACTTGAATTTAAAGTTTAGGCTAGCATTTTCAATTTTCAGGCATAAAATCATGTTAATGTAAATATGGACTAGGAATCTTTGGTCACCTTTGGCTTTTAGTTTTCAAATTTTAGCTGTAATTCCTCAAGGCATGCATCCTGATACCAGACATTCCATATTTACTGATTAAAGTAAGAGCTACATGGCAATTCTACTCTACTCAATTCCTAATGACAGTGTAGGTTTTTGCTAGTCCAACATGTAGTAGGTGGGAGCTTGAAACTAGTTAACTCCCGGGTTAGGTCCCCAAACTGAGGAAGAGGTAAAGGGAACACAGTGTCACTGTTCCAAGATCCTTATGTATCGGTTAATCAGGCAAAAAACAGTTCCCTCACTGGCTGTCTTGTGAGCATTGGGGTGGGGGCTGTGTTTATTGTTGTTTCATGTCATCTTTTTTGCTTAGAAGTTTTATGGGAAAGGCTGACATTGCTGTTCACAGGTAGGTGAATTTGAGCAGCCCATCCTTAAACTTCAGACTTAATTTTAGTTACTAGTGACTAAAGTCAGTCTCCCCTGGAGTACAAGAGGAAGTAATCCAAAATAACAGTCTGAAGATCACAAGCTATTGTACTGCGTTACATTGTTTGTGCAAAACATTTAGGTACAACTGTCTTCAACTTTCACCATTAAAAGTGGTTGCAGTGGATTTGTCATCTTAGTATTACTTGGAATTTCTCCAGTGCTGATGGATTGGCTGAGTTACAGTAGAGGCGTTCAGATTTGGAGAAAGGGACACTTCTGTACTTTGGGCAATACAGCTGAAGTCGTAAGACTCATCCAGTCCTGCCCTGCAACTCCTGCACGTCAGCTCCCTATCATGAAACTATAAAGGAGTGCTGCTCGTGTTACTGACTTGTCGAGAACAGATATTCCAAGCTGTAATTCCAAAGGACGTTGCTCCACAGGTGTGACTGAATCATTGAAATGGCAATATTGTATATACCTGATCAGTCACCTAAAGCTACCTTTTAACACTGTTTAGAAATAGAAATATTCTGGCACAGGCGTGGGTTTATGATTTCAGCATCAATTTATTTTTGGCTCTCTAGATTGAAGCTTTGGAGAAGATGAATGAAGATCATGTGCAGAATCATGGAAAGAAACTGTCGATGTTTTCAAGCAATGGAGACCCACCTATATATGATGAATAGCACTGAGTGTGTAGCTGCTAATGATACACAAATTTACTGCTTCTAACTGTGTTGGTGCAGTGGTAAATGTCAGCTACCAATGTCACGAGAGTGGTTGACTGGGAGTACCAAAATGGAAAACACAGCAAGCATACGGTGATGCCTCTGTGTCTTTTTTAAACGTAGCCCACACGTCAGGCTGGCACTGTGAGAATGGACTGTCACTACCTCTTCAGATGGTCTGACAACTTCACCAGTTGCCCCATTATGTTAGACTAATGTAGCTGAGGTGGTCATATTTTGCATGATTCAGAGCATATATGTTTTAGGTTTGGTTTTTGTGGTTTTTTTTTTCATTTAAAACCATCTAGATCATCTAAAGTATTTAGTGGGAAAGCATACTAGGAGAGTCCCTGTTTTTTTCCTACTGCTACTTGAAAAACTACTTTAAAATTGTGTATGGACACAGTGTCGATGAACCTTCCATCCTTCTCCACCAAAGGCAAAATGAAAAGTCAAACTGTGCACTGTAGTCGTATGAAAATGTTAATTTAACAAACCAATGTCTTTATATATGCAAGAGTCTGGACGTTTTTGTTTGAAGTACGTGGAATGTGGCTCTAACTATCTCTGTAAATGCAGCTGGGTATTACATGAGAAACAGACTTGAATCCAACCAGCAGAGGACTTCTTTGGTGACCCACCAGGAAATCCTGTGGGCTGCAACCAAGTTGCGTAACAAAGAGCAAGTTCAGTTAGCTTCACTGTTAATACACAAGTGGTTCCAAGAACTCAGTGCAAGCAGAAAAATGTTATCTATAATAATCGTGGGTCTAAACTGAAATTCTGGGTTGCATTCTTACTCACCCCAAAGATAATAATAGACTAGGAAAACTAAATATTGAACATAATTATTTTTAAATAAAGCTTTTTGCATAGAAGTGCAAAAAGAAACCTCATTTATCTCTTTCTCATGCTTTTATTCTTAATGTCAGTCTTTTTATTTTAGCAAGTGCGAAAAATCCAGCAATGTTTTTCTCTAAAACCACACATTTAAAGATGAACTGATGTAGTGGGATGGTTTGGAATTAAGTAATTCTTATCAGCTTATTTTTCACTGGTTGCTGTTTCTGATGCTGCTCTTTATCAAGCAGAATATAGTGTTGCTACGTGTGACATTCTCACAGTGTGCTGTGAAAGTGATTTTTTTTTTTTTTTTCTTGGTTGAAAAACTGGTGGTGAAGTAAAAACTTAAGATCTTGTGGTAGTATTCTTGCGTGGTTCTTTGCATCGTACAGGTCTTTGTTGATCCTCAGTGCTGTGCTAAAGCAGTCTTAGGGTAGGATTACACTAATTCATTATAACAACAGAAAAATGACTATTTTGGTGGGTACTACATAAACAGTGAACAACCTTGCCATTTTTGCCAGTTTCATCCCAGTACTTGGATCCTCTTCCCTTTTCTAAATGTGACAGTTGTCTAGCATTTACCCCTTGCTTCTGAAATAAAGGAACTTGCATCTTTTGGAGACTTAAGCCTATTCCTAATTGTTCAGTGAAACTAAAATAATTGCTCAGTTGCCCAAAATAATAATAGCAGGGAAAGAACAGACTAGGTACCGAGAGGGAGGTGCTACAGTTGTTGAATCCCTTCAGGAAGACTGAAAGCTTCTCTTGTCAAATACAGCCAAATCTTCCTCAAAGCATTCGGAGGAGAAGGCTTTTAAAAAGAAAAGCGTATTCCTGTTCTAGGCTTATTACAAGTTTAAATACTTTGAACATTTCTTAGAGGAAAAATTATCTTGAAGCAGTTGCTTAATGCCTTACAACGTGCTTGTCGAGGAAAGATGTTGGTGTTAAGGATATGCGCATCAAGAGAGGGGAGGAGAGGGGAGGCTGCTTTTTGAGACATCAGCTGAAACAGAGGAGCTTGCTTGTGTCCTTGTGCTTGAATGGAAGCCTCAGTTGTTAACTGTTATTTTTAATTTCTTTCTGAAATATGTCTAGCACAGATTAAAAAAAAACCAAAACCCAAAACAAATAAATGAAGCAGCAGTCCTCCAGTCTGTGATTTAAAGCTACTGCGCCCAATGATATTGCCTAAACGCCTTTTTAATTCCAGCAATAAAATTGGCTCAGGAATTTGCTTTGAAACAAAGACCTCTGGGCACTTTGTCAAGTAGCTGAAAACAAGGAATAAGTTGATAAAGCAAGCATTTTCCTGGGCTCCTTTCAAATAAAAGGTTCTAGGATTATTATTAAGCAAATAGAATATTAGAATTAAATCTAGTGTTTTTTTCATTGGTAATTAAGGTATTCGCTTAATTACCTTTTCTGACATTGTGGCTATTCTAATGACCAATTTTAAAACTATCACAATAGTCTCAATTTAGGTGTTTATATACTTGTCTTCCCTGCCCACATACCGCAGTATCTACTATCTTAGTATTCCTATTGCTATTGTAGAAAGTACTTGCTGTCCTGTAGGGAAGTAGTAGAAGGTTAAATGTCAGTAGAATTTCTTAAATTTTGACCTTGGATTAACTAAACTTTTGACTAATGTGCAATAAATTTTTTTATTTTCTAAAAAATTGTAAATTTTAAGGTACTTGAAATGCTCTGGAACTACTTGCCCTCCCTCTCTAGTTAACGTGGAATTGTCTGATCGCACAGGCGGGTTCTGCAGAACAAATAGCTCGCTGTAATTCCTAGCTGTGACTTCAGTTTCTCCTGTCTCATGTGAAACTATTGCGGTTGGACTAACTGGGTCGCAAGTCAGCAGGCAGTTGTTTGCGTGATACCGTGTTAACGTACGGTACTTACATGTCTGTTTCTCCCGTACTAAGTTGTGCCACTCCAGTCTAATCTGAGAGCTTTTAAATTGTTACAATCTTAGTATTTTTTTTTCCCCTTTCTAAACCAATAAGCAAGTATGTAAGTGATGGCGTTCTCACGCAGTTTCTAAGTTACACTGTGGGTTTTGCAGCTCGTGGGCCAAGGTGTTGGCCGGTGCCTCAGCCCAAGAACCCCATTGCTAGTTTATTGCCCAGACCAGAATGCGGATCAGCAGAAGTGCTGAGAAACAATCGGGACTGTAACTTCAGTAATGCTTTAGTAATATCGTTCCTGAAATGAGGGGCATAACGTCCTTCTCTGGTCCTTTCTGCGGCTCGCCCCCGGGAGCAGGGCCGCGCCCCGCAGCAGCTGCCAGCAGTGACTGCTGTGCAGGGCCGGGGCACCCAGCTCTGAGGGCGCGGGGGGCTTTTTTTCTCCCCACCTGGAACCTCCGGGGGGGTC